AGAATGAGAAGATGTCGCCTTTTGTCAAAGATGGTTGGCCCAGATTCTGAGCTGGGGCCAAGGAAGACACAGAACTAGTGTTTGGGGCCGATGGCACGGCTAGGATTTTCGCGCTTAGCTTGGATTTCTTGGGTCGACCAGGCGCCTTCTCATGCTTCGCGAGGCTCTTCCTTTGAGGACTCGAACTCGAAGATGCCGTCCTCGCTTTGAGCTCCTCCACGACTCTTGGTCCTACATGAGGTACTTTGAGAGCATCTTCTGGCCGGTGCAAGACTTCCGCATATCCTTTCATACTCCATGCAGCCTTGTTGTAAGCCATATACCGACGGGATTCTGAACACCCATTCAATCCACTTTTAAGTTTTCTTACTCGATACTTCAAACACACCTGGCTCTTGGGCATCTCGCAAGTCCTCAATCATTTTAAGAAACAAAGGATTTGCGCAAGGTGGGCGTTTAGGAGGCATGATATTACTGTCAAAAACGCGAGGTTTGGGGGATGTCAAAGTTTGTTGTTGATTCATATCAATGAACGTGAATTCGTGACGTGACCGGTCACGCGTTGTAACACAATTGTCGTTTGTCAACATTTAAGAAAAATTTTGGAGGTGCGCTATTACAGTCAACATCTCGAGATGAGACAAGATCCTGTCGATTTACACTTTCAAGGATGACTGTAATCTCGTTCGGAGCGGTAAGAAGGGTTTCAAAAGAAAAATGTCTAAGTAAGGGCATTAGAAACGCAAGTCCTGAGCTTCGTTTATTTTGGGTTTATTAGTATTTATGTGAAGCCAGCGCGCACCCAACCACGATTATTGTGAGCATCGAACATCAAGGAGCCAGCAGATTAGCTTGTCTCGAGAATAAACTTGAAGCTCTTTCACTATTGAACGCGACGGTCCCAGTCGTGTTTATCCACGCCACCTCCTACCCATCCTGCTCTGATACGGCTCTCGATGTGGAATTACAGACTCTGAAATCCCAAATACGTCGATAGCACGCTATAAATGTATACGAGGTCAGTATTATCACACATACTCGATTGCATAAGTGTTCACACCTTCCAAGTAGCCATATCCAATTCGAATACCAATTGACGACTTTGAGATTGATCCTCATACGTTCGCGTTTGAGGCTGATCGGGATCTTCGTCTGATACAACTGTTGCATTCACTTTGAATGCGCAATAAAGACAAAAAGTGAAAAACACACTATGTACAATCGGTTCTTTGTCTTCTTCGAAGGAAAGCCCAACTTTTCCTTCCCTAATAAGGAACGATAGATAGAACAGATTTTCAACTGATTGGGCGAAGCTGACGGGATTGATGATGAGTTGGAATAGATTTGTAGGCCCAATGTTTCCCAAGATTGCATGTATCTAGTCAAGTGATGATGGAAATTGCGATCATGCCTCCCAGCACAAAAATACCCACTGTGATAACGTTCCTCGTTGTCTCATTCGTAGATCTTTGTAAATCTTCGGCAGTGATTGCCTGAGGTCTTCGTTCGTCAGCCTTATTCTTTTTGAATCTGGCACTCTTAGTCCGGGTTCGTGGCTTTTCAAGCGAGATAGGACCTGACCTGCAGGGATGAACATAGTTGTGCGAGTTGAGCAAACCGCGAACAAAGGACTAACATAAAACCAACAGCCGGAATACGCCTAGTCTTTCTCAAAGCTAATTTCCCTACCCATTCCCAATTTAAGGGCTCGACCATTTCCGGGTCATCTTCGTTGTCAGATATGTGTTCGAGGGATTGAGGTTCAAGCCTTCGCCCACGCATGAACGTAACCAGCCTTGATACATATTCATCGAAATCAAACACTCCCGAACCAAATTTCAGCTGACGGGTCAATTGCGCTGACTTTGAAGAAATTGTGAGCACTACATCGGAATCTAGAATAGCTTCGGGTGTATCTTTAACTGCAGACGGCTGTCAGTTAATGCAGACGCAATATGCCTTACAGAGACCAAACCTCCCTCGCTCAAAAAGGACATTTGCTGTCTCGAGGACTTCTGCAAGTTTGCCGGCGCGTTGCTTGCCTTTGTGGTCAAAAGCTGTAAAAGGTTATCAAGAATCAATTAGTAGAAAATACCGGTTAACTTGCCTTGTAATTGCTGCTGGGCAGCCCGATATTCCCTTCGCAAGTCCTGCTTAACGTCGGGGTCTTGATTGGGGTTGTAGATTAGAGCTGAACCGGATGAATATATAAGTTTCCAACGTTAAAGGACTTAATACATCGAGCCGACTAACAACTATCATCGGAATCGCTCAATTCTTTGTCAGACATCTCTATTTGAGATTGCGACGTTGTATAATAGTTTTGGATTTGGCAACGTAGACGGAGTTTTCAGAGTACGATGGACGATATCCGGGATCGAAGCAGAGTAGATTGCCGGAAGTAAGACGAAAAATACAAGTATGAAGATAAATCGAGCGTTAAATGTCGAAATCGTCGTCGTCGAAGTCTTTTCTTCGCTGAAACTGTGACCGTAAGATGTAAGCGATTGACGGGGCGAAAACCAGAAAAACGAACCACAATCTTAGACTGCTTCGTTGTTGTCTTTCCTCCAGCACTCTCCATCTGGCCATGCATGATCTCAGCTGTGATTCCCGCATAACATATTGAGAAAGACGACGCACTTGATCCAGCAGCTCAATCAACTGATTCTCTGATACTCGTCCTTTTAGTTGACCCGACTGCGCCATTCTCAGCAGTATCATCTCGATTTGCCTCGATCTTTCAGGACTGACAAGGGATATGCGCGATACTTTGAGATGTAGAAATTGAGATATTGTATATTGTAATTTAATATTTAGGAAACATACATCGTTCTCGAGCACCATTGTCTAGTACTGTAGCCATCATATCACGTCGCATCTGTTCCTCTTGCGCCCTCTTCGCTTCTTCTTCCTCTGCATTTTGGCCGCCTTGGGCGCCGTCTGGTATTTGACTGAGATCCATTGAGGTTACGACCTGAGTTGCGTCAGAGGCCGACCGATTCCCCGGTTTTCTCCGGTTTCCGGACTTTCTCCCCGACCTAACTCCGATTCGTTCAAGATGACTTTCGAGAATCAAGGAATCAAATCGTTCTTATTGTGTTTTTGAACAAAACAAGACAGACAACCACTTTGAGGTCAATGGACGCCTTTCAGTTGAAGCCCGTGCCCGAAGGAAGAACAAAAGAAACAGGATAACGTAGCCGTCCTTCCGAAACAGGCAGGTGTCAAAGCCATTGTTCTCAACCAGATCATCAACTTCATTGTTTTGCGTCGAATATAAAAAGCCCGCCTCGCAAAATGTTCTCTTCACTTATTCCTTCTTCTTGCCATAGACGCACGACCTTCTTTTACGACTGTAGCTGCTTTTCAAATCACACGAGCTGGCCACCATGTTCTCTTCCAAAACTTTTACCTTTGCTGCCCTAGTTGGCATTTCTCTTGCTGTCATTCCCCCTGTTGTACGATCTGCTACTATCGACGTTACGGTTGGAGGCCCTAATGGAACTGTTGCTTACGCCCCAGAATACGTGGTATGTCTTTATATATTCTATTTGTAACTTGACTGACTTTTTTTCCCCAGAACGCCAGTATCGGCGATGTCGTCCGGTTTACATTCGAGCAGAAAAATCACACTGTGACCCAATCTTCCTTTGCCTCTCCCTGTTCACCACTTGCCAACGGCTTTGACTCCGGATTGTGAGTGCCGTAGATTCGTTCCTTCATCGTCCACCTGGTTAACAATTGGTAGTGTTCCGGTCGCGGCTAATGTTACCAGTGACTTTATGACCGCAGAACTCACGATTGAAAACACCAACGTGAGCCACTTTCAATATTCCTCACGTTTCCTCCGTTGAACGCCATATGTCTTTGTAGCCTGTTTGGGTATATTGTCGTCAAACTGGTCATTGCGAAGAAGGCATGGTATTTGCCGTAAACCCTGGCTCCGACGCCAAATTCGCCGCCTTCAAGGCTGCTGCTATGGGCCAAAATTCGACTTCCACCGCTTCCGCCTCTATAGTCACAGTGACAGCCACCGTCACTGTATCTGGTGGGGAAACGATCACCACCACTTACGGTTCCTACCCTGGATCGTCTGCTCCTACTGCCGCCACCTCAACAGACCACAGAGTCATTGTCGGCGATAATGGTACACTCACGTACAATCCTGCCAACATAACTGCTCAAATTGGGGACACTGTTACATTCGAGTTCCATCAGAAAAACCATACAGTCACCCAGAGCTCTTTCGCTGACGTAGGTCCACGTTCATTCACTTAGAAAACATTGCTCATTTTGTACTTTCTAGCCTTGCACCCCTCTATCTGCGAGCAGCCCTGGGACCGTCAGTTTCGATTCGGGATTCATGCCCGTCGCAACGAACGCAACTACTTTCCCTACCGTGACTATTCAGATCAACGACGTAAGTCGGGTACCCTTCGTTTTCTTTGTCCTCAGTCTTAACGCCGCCCCTCACAGACCAAACCATTCTGGACCTACTGCCGTCAAAGCACCCCAGTATCTCACTGCGAATCTGGGATGGTATTCAGTGTCAACGCTGTTGAGAACAGCAATAGCTCCTTCGAAGCCTTCCAAGCTAAGGCCCTTGCTCTCAACACTACTGCCTCAGCCTCTGGCTCTGCTTCGCTCTCCTCACCCTCTGCGACTTCGACCAGCAACAGTGCATTGTCAATACATGGAATCCACGGTGCTGGCATCGTGATTGCCGTTGTCGGTGCTTCCGTTGGTGTTCTCTTATAGTCACTTCACGATCTTTCATGATTCCCTGGGTTATTGGCTTCGAGGTGTATCCTTACAAATTATTACCGTACGCGCAGATGACATTACTGTATCCCCTAATCTTCTCTTCCCATGCTTCCCGCTTGTAGCATTATAACTCTTCTGACAATCTTGTAACTGATTCTTTCTTTACTTTGGCAAGTAAGGACAGCGTAGTGATATCCTATTATCTTATTGCATTCGAGCGCACCATGATCACCGCCCGCCTAGCTCAATCGGATAGAGCGTCAGACTCTTAGAAGCTAGGCTATTGCGCTCTTCGTTTGATCTGAAGGCTGCGAGTTCGACCCTCGCGGTGGGCTAATGAACGGATTATTTTGGTGAAATTTTTGGTACATACAGAAACTGGTAACCAAAACTGGATTGCAGCAAAGCACAGATAGTTCTGAATTGCATAGGTAAGGCTCCAACCGTACTGTTTATGTATACCCTCGACAGCGTAAATATACATATACAGTGTATAACCGTATGTTTACTATATAAAGACAGTTAAACATACAGTATCATTTTTGAGTCACGCGGTCCACAGAACCATGCTTTTTGCGAGGTTTAACGGGCTCGTTAACATCTAATAATCCACTACGAATCCAGACCTTCGCCAAAAGAGCCTTCTGAATCGTTTCAGCCTTCAATGAACCCCTTAAGTCTGAGCAAATGTGACGAGATTTCGAGAATGTTCGCTCGACAGAAACACTAGTTGCCGGAATGCCAAGGAAGTCGCGTGCCATTCGAGCAATGGTACGAAAAGAACCAGTGTGTTTCTATACTTTAACTCAGAAACTCAGAAAGTGCAGCAGCATAATAGACCTTACCTTCCACCATTCTAGTGGTTCCTGTGTTTTCCCAACGCCTCCCTCAAATCGGAGATAACACAATATTTCATCCTCCAAATCGGCCTGAGTTGCTCGAGGTGGAGTGGGAATGAATAAGAGGTCAACAGCACACATCTGGCTCAAGAACCCGTTAGCAGGTGGCTTTGGCTTATTGAGGGACAATTGGTCAGGAGTTGGTGAGCTTAGTTGTTTTTGGAAGTAATTCAGCGCAACGTGTCGGAACATGGTTTCAGCCTTGTCTCGATGGTCCTATCGTTCCCATGATGTCGTTCCGAGGGTTTCAAACCATTTGGAGTGCATTCCCGGGTGTAATACTGCCAAGGATGTCAAAGACAGTCAAAAATACGGAATAGGGAATGCACCAGTGCCAAGAACATAGAACCGGTTCCCGTCTGCTGTCGCGACGAGGCAGGAAGCAGGAGGCGGGAAGTCTGAGTACGCCACGGAGCGACAGCGAAGAGACACAGAGACAAGCACAAGGCACAGAGACAAGCACAAAGCACAGATGAAAGAAATAGTGATCTCGAACAATAGTGGGATAGTGTCGGAGGCCAATCACACCAGTAATCAAAAGGGAATCTAGTTGCCCAATGACCAAGTTAGATAAGTAGTATCTAAGAGGATACAAGTACTTGCCTAGTTGCCCAATGACCAAGAGGTCGAGATGGGGAACTAGGATCTACCTACTGCTCTTTATATACTACTTCTGTCTAATGAGTAAGTGATTGTAAATAACGATGCGATATGGAACAAGAGTGAGGAATCAATATATACGAGTAATAATGAGTCAATAATGAATCATAACGAGCTAATCGATGAATAAGGACGAGTTGTATGGAAGCATATGGAAACAAATAGAAGTATTGGGATGATCATGTGAACAAGTACAATAAACATGTGAAAAGAGATTGATGGGAACACACCGCTGATGGCGCATCAAAGGGCGCATCATGAGACTTCATGACATCTGCCAATCACTTGTATTTCCTCAGCTTCTCTAATCCGACAGATGCCGCATTAGTGAGTATCTTTGGCAAACTAGTCTCGGTACTTTTAGCCTCTAGGTGTGTGTCGAGTTGATGATATGCAGGAAGCACAAATGGAATTGTCGGCTGTGAAGTGCGAGACATAATCAGAGTAACATGTGTAAACAGCTTGAAATGCAATGAGCATAGAGGAAAGGAAAAGGCAGGATTGACATACCTCAAGGATATCTGCAAGATCTTCTAAGAGTTTCCACTCTTTTTT